CAAATAGTGCTGGTTTGGAAGGGTGCATCTTATGTGGTTTCTGTCTCATCATATCCCCTCTCCCGTAGTAACGGTTCAATCACAGTGTAATTTTTGGTACCAGACTAATGAGCTAGATGAAAAATCCCTTTTTGACTTTTTGAGAGAAATTTAACCACTCGTAGTTTCTTCCCAGATGCAAACCATGCAACAGATGGTTTGCATCTATAATTTCTCGTCTGCATCAGCTATAATTTCTCGTCTTTAAACTCTACAAGACGACTGAAAAGGCCAGCGGTGAATTTGTCTTCAGAACTTGCAGGCTTGTCGTCTAAATTGAGAAATACATCAAAATCTATAAATCCTCAGCAACAATAATGCCGCCTCCTGTCGAGTTCAATTCGGAGTTAGAATTGAAATTGAGACCATATTCTACGTGATACGCGAATAAATGATCTCAGCCAACATAAAAGAAAGAATCAGTTATTATTTGCAAGAACTTAGCTGTTAAGTTTGGGTCTAAAGTTTCCAGTTTTCCAATCTAGTGAGATGGTGTGCAATTTTCTTTGAATGGGCAGAAGAGGAAATTTGTTCATGCGTTCTATTCCAGGATGTGTCTTATCATGAGCAGTAGTTGAGTTTGTATTTTCATAATAAGTAGTTTACACCAATTTTTCTGAACTTTGGCTTAAATACCGAAAGTTCAATTCTGGTATTGTTTGAGGCATAGGTCATTAAAAGTTCTTCTCTTCTAAAAAGTCAGCTATGGAGCAGAGCAGATAATTTCAATTGTTGCCCATGTCTGTTTCTTGATCGAATATGAAGTTATCGTTACTTGCTCATCTCTTCTGAGGTTAATGCGTTATCTTTTGACAGCGTAAGATATGTCGCGTTCAAGTTTTCTTGCTCAAGATGTAGTCGTATCACTGCAACCCAGATATCTATGCAATTATCCGAATCATCTTTAAACTCTTTTGCTTCTTGAAGGTCTTTATCGACTTGCCGCCTCCTTTTTTTTGCTTGACTCCGTGTTTCTCATGGCAAATGCTTCGAGTGTCCTATTCATCGTTTCCCAAGTGTTTTGTCATGGCATCTGGTGGTACACTCGCGTGTACGTTTTTTTCCCTTGGTACTCTCGTTGAATTCGATGCGCTCCCTTTTTTTGTTGTCTTTACTGTCTCCGACCCTATGATTTTGTGGATCTGAGGCAATGGAGTATACTTTTTGTTTTTGCGGTTCCGCAAAATCCACCATTGGTTTGGGTTTTTTAGCTGTTTTCTCTGCTACTTTATCGGATTCATCTTGAATAACAGAGTTCCTCAAGAGCGCATCCAATTTGAAATGCATGTCATAGTAACTCTCCGCTTGGTCTCTTCTCATCCTGTCCATTCTCGTCTCTAGACTCCAGAGCTTGTCGTGTACGTTTTTATACAGTTTTTTAGTTTCCTCCATTCTCATTTTTATTATATCAGACCTCTAGTTTCATCTCTTCTCGGTCTTCCTCGCCGCTCTTGAGCTTTTTGTCTATCTGCTTCATCTTTAGCATCAAGTCACCCAATTCCACCGGTAATATCAATTCTGTTTTAGGTCCTGCTTAGTGATTCGCTATTTTCTCTGTGGATCCTGTGCTCTGTTCCCCTGTCTTCTGGATCCTGGCTTCCGTTGTTATAGTAGAGTAGTAGGGTAGTTTTAGCTTCCCAATACCCAGCAAACCAGTGTTGGACAGCCGATTTGCCTTCCTAAGACTCAAGTAGATGTAGTGTTGGGCAGTTGATTTAGCTTCCAGGACTGTCTCAGGAACTCGTGTAAAATGCCCCCAACACCCAAATTTCTTACCAAACTTTTATCTGAGTTTCTCTAAAATTCCTGTTTTCCCTCATCAATTGCAATTGAAAAGTCAGATCTGGTTTCCAAATTCAGTTTTTGACTGGTAATCCTTTGGAATTTAGTCTGACTGTTTCAAAAGGGTACCAATCGAAAACTCAAAAAAGGTTAAGTAATCTCTAAAAAAAATTTTAAAAAAATCTCTAAAGAAAAATCTAGCCCCCCTCTTAAGCCGAAAAATACTTTAAGCGCGATGGGCTCTAAACCACTCAGGAGAAAAACCGTAGAACCTGTTTTCAATCTCTGCTCAAGTAAAATTCTTTGCTCAAAAATAAGCGGTGCCATTTATTCTTTTTTTTATACCTATCTCTCATAGTATAAAATGGATTTGAACGATCCCCGGTTGACTAAACAGACTACTCCGGTAATCCCCTCTAGTTGTCATACTGCACTGGTCACACTAGTGGTAGTCCTTTCCCAGTAGCGCCCTTTTTTGATTCCCAGATCTCGGTCCTCCAAACCACTCTGCTGTCCGACTGGTCGCCTCTTCCAGTGAATTCGCCCAATTGTTCTCCAAATTTGCTAGTGTATCTGTAAACCCTTTTAACTCGCTGAAATCGGGCACCTGTTAAATACTTGATATCTTGATCTAAACAATCGGTCTTGTATTAAAACAGTGTAATTTTTCATCAGTTAATGTAAAAGTCTGATCCACTTGATCTGGAAATCAAAGTCATTGTCCATTTTTAAATTTTTATGGTTTTTTTCTTTTTTCTAATCCTTTCTCGTTTTTACCTAGTGGCCCTTATGCCTGAGTAGCTAAGCTTCTTATCTAAAAGCGCATCGAGAAAATTTCACAAAAGTTTCTAAAAAGCTATCACGTTATGACCAATAGCTGGACACGTTCCAATTGAACCGTACCACCGGTACTCTAGATTGGGCATGTAGCCTGTGTAACATTCGCCCAAATACTACAGAGCGACGGAGCGTAGAAAAAGTACCTATTAACGACTGGCAGACCTCAGTTACCTTGATCCTACTCGTTTTTCACCGTCTCGACCTTGCAAGTTGATTTTCTGGTCTGTTTAGGGCTAAGTAAAATGTTACTATTTTTAGGCCATCAGTCAAACGACTTTTGATCAGCTTTCGTTTACATGCAAACACAACCACATAGCTGAGTCTCGGATCCTCAGACTACGTGATTGTTATTTAAAAACACGACTCGAATATCCTATTTTAATATGTTTTTGGTGACAGTTCTATATTAAATCCATTGGAGATGGATTGACCCTTTCCTCTTCCTAGCTACTCATATTCTAAAATATTAAACAATACCGGTGTCAATTCAAAGTTCTATAGCATCAGAGTAGCTAAAGAGTTAAGTTACTACAGTCTTTCACCATATATCAGTCTCTGGGGGACGAAGCCTCCGCTTCCGTGTTCTCCTCGAGATAACGTTGTTATCACTCCAAATTCGTGGCACGGTAGGGTACTGCTTTCCACCACTTCCCCACCGAAGCCACCTTTCCCACTAATTTCTTCCACTAAGGGTCTTATCGTGCGTGATTGTCACGATAAGAAGCTTCGTTTTTCTATCGTTCTCGTGTGACTGTTTTTCACTAGATTTGCGGTTGTTCTGTTTTTCTCAATTTTTTCGGTCAAAATGGCCGTTTTTTATTGCTGAGAAACACTCGCTCCTTAATCGAAATTTTGAAAAATTGAAACTTCCAGAATATTTCAACCCTCCTTTCAAGCACTTTTTTGCTGTTAAGGCCTTTTCTCTCTAATTCGTGCTTCGTCGGAAGGTTGCGCTGTGCCAATCTGGCAGAATGGCACACTGGAGCTGTGTCAAGTGGGTTCAATCCCGTAGTCTTGATGTCGTAAAAACACCCAGGAGCACCATAAAAACATTATGTAACAGTTGCCTACTTAAGTCACATATGAGGTTATGAAAAATAAGCCCTTAAACCATTGGCTCAATAGTCAGGCACACTATCTCTTGTGTTTTTCTACCTCAAGCTGTCGGAGGCAACTCAGTTCACTTGCGATATGAGACTACAAACCGTGTTACAGCTTAAACGCTACTACCAAAATAACCGCCCCCACTCTAGAAATAGTAACGTCCCATGGGCCAGGTCTCTAAATACCTAAAATACCTAAAAAAACAAGGTTAGAAACTCGAGCATATCATTAGTGTTTATTAGACAGTGGTTTTTTGATCCATTTCAGACGGTTCAACCTAAAACCAGCCTTATCTCAACATAATCTTGTACATTACACTCAAGAAATTAAATTTAATACTCATGTATTGACATTACTTTAGACTGAAGTAAATAACGAACTAATATATCTCTGGAAGTATTAAGTAATTAGAATTGACTGAAGTCCTTTTGTTCTCTGAAGCATTGGGCAGCTGAATTCGTCTACCTGCGCAATCAAGATTCTCTCTTGCCCAGCGGCGATACTCTCGTAGTAATTCGCAATTTTCTCTGTCGGGAACGAGACAGCTGTACTCGAGTTGATGATTTCAGTAAACTTGCGAATACCAATTTTTCTCCAGCTCAATTTTTAGCAACTTTTCCGCAATTATGATTCGGATCTTCTGGTTAAATTGACTTCTAATTTCAGTTGTCACGATAAGCTTGAGCATGACGTGGTCGATTCGAATTTTTCAAAATTTTGTCCCCAAAATCAAGGTCAAACTTCGGAATATGACTGACTGGCACACTGTTGATTGACGATAGTGTCGTGGACCCGGTGGGGTCCTCGACACCAATATAAACTAACTATGTTTCTTTCTGCGTATTTATATATGAATTGTTATTTAAACAAATTTTTTTTGTAAATGCAGCAAGTGCTGCACTGGGTCGCTAGTAATAAGTATCTGATAGACCCGCAGCCTCATATCAGGTCAATCTTTTTGAGTTTCTTTCAACCACAGTTTATTCTCAGGTGTCAGTTTTCTCAATCTGGTTGACTTGATTCCAATCATCTGACTTCTTTCTTTCCTTCACGTGGTACTAACCTTTATTTTTCTCTTTTATATGAAATTCCCAGAGTTTTTGACTGGTTGAAATGATGTAGGACTAGTGTAGTAACTTCAGTTACCATGATACCATGATAATATCTGACCTTCTCTTTTACCTCATTCTGTGATCGGAATATACAGAATTATCAACGTTGAGCAACATTTCAGAATCATGGGAGCTGCAGCAAAGGTTTTAATTTGGCTGCTGATGACAATTTTTTGGGCTCTGATTGGAATCGGGCTTCCTATTATTATTCCTGAAAAGATCGACAACAGACGGTAAGTTTTTTGTTTATAATATAAGCTTGCGATTGTTTGGCACTGTTTTCAAATAGTGCTGGTTTGGAAGGGTGTATCTTATGTGGTTTCTGTCTCATCATATCCCCTCTCCCGTAGTAACAGTTCAATCACAGTGTAATTTTTGGTATAAGACTAATGAGCTAGATGAAAAATCCTTTTTTTGATACGAGAAATTTAACCAACTCGTAGTTTCTTCCCAGATGCAAACCATGCACCAGATAAATTGATTTTAGGTCAGTTTTCAGCTATAATTTCTCGTCTTTAAACTTTACAAGACGACTGAAAAGGCCAGAGGTGAATTTGTCTTCAGAACTTGCAGGCTTGTCATCTGAATTGAGAAATACATCAAAATCAGTAAACCTACCTGATTAAAAAGTAGATTTATCAAATTCATGTCAAAATTTGTTGATGAACGATTCTCAGAGACAAATGTCTGCACGTGGCATCTCGCTTGCGATTGCAACAGATGCAGAAATAATTGGACTTTATTTTAATATTGTACAACTGCGACCATGCGCCCTTCAGCTAGCTGTAACTCCTCAGCAACAATAATGCCGCCTGCTGTCGAGTTCATTTCGGACGGCATTTAGAATTGAGATTGAGACCATATTCTACGTGATACGTGAATAAATGATCTCAGCCAACATAAACGAAAGAATCAGTTATTATTTGCAAGAACTTAGCTGTTAAGTCTGGGTCTAAGGTTTCCAGTTTTTCCAATCTAGTGAGATGGCGTGCAATTTTCTTCGAATGGGCAGAATAAGAAATTCATTCATGCGTTCTATTCTAGGATGTGTCCTATCATGAGCAGTAATTGAGTTTGTATTTTCATAATAAGTAGTTTACACCAATTTTTCCGAACTTTGGCTTAAATACCGAAAGTTCAATTCTGGTATTGTTTGAGGCATAGGTCATTAAAAGTTCTTCTCTTCTAAAAAGTCAGCTATGGAGCAGAGCAGATAATTTCAATTGTTGCCCATGTCTGTTTCTTGATCGAATATGAAGTTATCGTTACTTGCTCATCTCTTCTGAGGTTAGTGCGTTATCTTTCGATAGCTTAAGATAGGTCGCGTTCAAGTTGTCTTGCTCAAGATGTAGTCGTATCACTGCAACCCAGATATCTATGCAATTATCCGAATCATCTTTAAACTCTTTTGGTTTCTTGAAGGTCTTTGTCGACTTGCCGCCTCCGTTTCTGCTTGACTCCGTGTTTCTCGTGGCAAATGCTTCGAGTGTCCTATTCATCGTTTCCCAAGTGTTTTGTCATGGCATCTGGTGCTACACTCGCGTGTACGTTTTTTTCCCTTGGTACTCTCGTTGAATTTGATGCGCTCCATTTTATTGTTGTCTTTACTGTCTCCGACCCTATGATTTTGTGGATCTGAGGCAATGGAGTATACTTTTTGTTTTTGCGGTTCCGCAAAATCCACCATTGGTTTGGGTTTTTTAGCTGTTTTCTCTGCTACTTTATTGGCTTCATCTTGAATAACAGAGTTCCTCAAGAGCGCATCCAATTTGAACCGTATGGCACAGTAACTCTCTGCTTGGTCTCTTCTCATCATGTCCATTCTCGTCTCTAGACTCCAGAGCTTGTCGTGTACGGTTTTATACAGTTTTTTTAGTTTCCTCCATTCTCATTTTTATTATATCAGACCTCTAGTTTCATCTCTTCTCGGTCTTCCTCGCCGCTCTTGAGCTTTTTGTCTATCTGCTTCAACTTTAGCATCAAGTCACCCAACTCCACCGGTAATATCAATTCGCGGATTGCCTTTGTATCCTGAGATCTGGAATTCGAGTCCCTACCGGACCTTGTTTTTGGTCTGTGTTTATCAAATTGAATTTTTTCCGTGTAAAATTGAAGTGTCCGACATTCATTTGTCTGCTTATGTTTTGTCGGCTTAGTTGCCATATCGGGGATTGTTCTTGTGCTGTTTGCTATTTCAATCATTGATGCAAGTGTTTTTGATTTACTCCCGTTATTTGTAAAAGTTAATAGCCCTGACTTTACATATTTTTCTTGCTTTTGCTTTTGTTTTTTTTTTCGCTTAAAAGCTTAATTCGGTCTAGATGGCTTCATCTTATATTTTATTGGCTCAGTTATTTTTATTTTGAGTCGCTTTAAAAGCAACAATTGATTGATTTTTTTTTGGAAAATGTAGGCAGGGTTGCTTGATTTAAATCCGATTTAAATCTTGTTTTTAATCAGAGGTTTTGTTCGATGATAATTTTCTTAGTTAGTGGCGTGTTTTTCCCACCAATTCTATGCCAAATTTTACCCATCAGTTTTGTATAACGGGTCTTTCGTATGACAGAACTAAACCACAACTGAAAGTTGACGAAGCCAAAACTGAAAGTTGACGAACTGTTTCCATAATACCCTTCATACCACTTCTTTTGGTTTTCTAAGATACTTGGCAGTTTTTTTTTTACAAAAATTGGGTTTAAATAATAAAAAAATTGGTTTAAATCTAGCTAATCCGATTCATTAAAAGCTTATTTAATACTACGTGGTTGTGTTTTTGCGAATGTTTTTTTTTGAATTTTTTCATTTTTCACAAAAAAATTATACTTTTCTTACTTCCGCGTCATTTTCTATTCGCTAGTTTGTAATGCTCCGCTCCGCCTCTATTACGATTATAATTACTCGAATCCAATACTTCTTTCTTTTTAAAATGTTCGTTTTTGCATAAGCATGAAATACTGGATATCCAAAACAACGAATTATGAAACAACTATATATAGCCTAAGATAAGTTACGGTTGCTCTTATTTTAAATATTTAAATAACAGAGAAGGTGGACCTGCACTAACTCACTTAATAGGAATTTCAGTTTCAAATAAAAAACACCGTATTATTTATTCACACCCTCGCCTAGTTTCTAGTAATGCAACTGAACAGATGTGTCTAATTTTCGGCTTTAAAAACGCGTCTAATTGTTTCAACTGCTGAAATTGGGAAAAAGTTTTTCATAATTGGGTTGTTATGCAAAATCAGACACCACAAAGGACACGAAATTCTTTGAAGCCTTCTGAGTCGTGATTTGGATTGCAGCGAAAATTTTAAAAATATTTAAGAAAACAGTGATGCGGTTTTTGATGTTATGTCATTTGAATGTCCCCCTTCTCAATAAAAATGTTTAGATTTTGTTAAAATGGTTTCTTGCGGATTATACTAAGGCTTATAAGATATAATGAATAGTGGTTACTCATTTACCCTAATTTTATGTTTAGGTTGATTCAGGCGATGCTGGCTCTAACTGCATTTTTCTGTTACACCTTGTGAGTTTTCATTCTCCTGTTTGTAACGATCATGGAAAATGCTGCTGAAAATGTTTATCAGAATTGATATGGTGGAATTTCTTCTGCGAAATTCGGACCGATAACCTCACCTAAAGATAGTGATTTTTTGGTTGGATTTGTTTTGTAAACGAAATAACGGGAAAACTGCTGGGATAATTTAATTTGATTTAATTGAATTACATCAAAATGAGCGTCGTAATAAATCCAACAAAAAGGTTACGTTATCTGAAAGATCGCGAAAAGCTTTTTGAATTTGTTAAACCAAAAAGTACTAAACCCAATAAAAAGGTTGTGTCTGAAAATCCGTGAAATATTTTTGATTTACGCATGAACCGAAAAGTAAGCCATTTTTTTGAACCGGCCTCTTGGGCCGCCAGAAAGAAAATTGTACATTGCTACAATTTTTCCCGACAATTTGCCACTTAAAAAATTTGTTCGGCTGAGTAAGACGTTCATTTCAATCCAAAAGTTGTTGCCTAAATTTTGATCTTATATATTGAGCCAAAAAAGTCTTATCTTTGAAATTTTAAACTCGAATTTCGTAAAAGATCACTATATCAATTTTGGTTATGTTCAAGTTCCAAGCAACTGTTGCCTTAATACTAATTTATGTTTCAATTAAGCACAGTTTGAGAAATACGCACTTAAAGTGTCAGGTTTTGTTATTTTTGTCCGGATAATTTAAAAAAAAAAACACTTTTACTAGACTATAAAAATCAAAATGCTTTGAATGTTTTAGCTGGCTATGTACTTATTTGATGCAGCTCAACCCATTGATTGCCCCAGAGATCAAAGTCGACGTGGCTTGGGCTATCGTCAAGGAATGGCAGAGTTAAATGGATGGATTGTTCTAAGTGTTGCATGATAGATCAATATCTCAAAAAGCGAACATCTGAGGATGTAACATTTAATGTGTATATTTAGGAGTAGAGGTATTAAATATTAGCGCTGTGTCTGAAAATTGAAATTTGTAACCTTTTTCATAGAGAATTAAGCTTCAATGCTTCTTCAATGCAATAAATTCATAATTCTATAACTAATTTCACTTATTTAATTGACATTTTCTTCTTGACACGAGAAAGTCATAGGTGGCAGATTCGGGTATGGTGTATTTTATGCATGCCGATCTTAAACAGCATTAGCTATATCCGATGAATTAGAGCCTCATCAATGCTGCTTTTGATTGAACTAAATGAAGGCGTGGTGCAGCAAGTTGGAATCCCGCTTCTTTCAAGGCTTGTTGTTCCGACCATTGAAAATGGGGAGGAACTTTGTATTCGGGTGTTTTAGTTTTTTGTTTTCCTCGAAAAATCAGGTAATTCAGTTTCATCTCCACGTTACACCTGCAAGAGCAAATGAATGTCAAGGTTATTTTCCAAATGGCATAATTCCCAAAAGGCATAAAAAGAACTTTTCCCAAATGGCATAAATTTCAAGCTTTCCATGGCGCTCAAATGTTTTCTCAACTAATATGTCTCCTTTTATGGGAACGAGAAGATGTGTGAACACGATTTGAATTTATTGCTTCCAAACGCATGTTGAGTGACAGTTTTGCTGGAAAAAATTATCACCCAAAATTAATGAGTAATAACTTATGCTTTTGATAAGAATTCTTTAAAAAAGTTCGAGATAATCACAAACAACAATCCAATTGACAACTTAACTGTTTTTCACTACTTGTTTACTAAAAAAAGATCTCTCAAAATATTTTGCAATGCAATTGTTGCATGGTAATTATGCCAATCTCTATGTCAAGTTTTTTACCGTATATTGTATATCAGGTTCCATTACCGTATATTGTATATCTTGCAGTATTAGGTTCCATTCCTCTTGTCCGGAAAGAAGCATTATTGCTAAGCAATAAGAATTAATATGCTGTAAATGTTTTTGCTGGCTATGTATTTTTTTGATGCAGCTCAACCCTATGACTGCTCCAGAGCTCAAAGTAGAACATACTGTGTACGTGTATGGGAGTATTCAAGAAATCAGATAAATTCTCTTGAAAGTTTAAAATGCGCTGTATGTTGGTTGAAGGCATACGAAGGCTTGGATGTTGGTGGTCCTTTTTGTGATATTTTGAAGAGTCGATGAATGTAGCTCAGACTTTTATGTTAGTCGTAATGAATTTTTTCTGTTTTTTTTTTGAAAAAGTCCCAACATGCTATAATGACAAACGAAGTGCCTTCATCCCTTTTAATGTAAATTTGGTAGAAAATAGGCAAAATAACAAACGAAATAGCAACTCTAATAACAAACGAAGTGCAATCATCCATTTAAAGGTAGGCAAAATGCATTTTTTAGTTATGAAAGCTAAAAAGGCGCAAAAATGTGATCAATTTCTAGTTTTGAAAGCGGAATCTTGTTTCCAGGTTTCCCATTGAATAAATAATTTACTCTTTGATCCAATTTTCTCAAATTGGGTTATTTTTATCAAAAAAGTGCCAATTGTAAATTGTTCTTGATGTTCAAAGAGCATTAAGTCCATATATTTTGTTTGAAGTTTGAAAGTTAAGGTTTTTTCAAAAACAAGTCTGTATTTTTTTTTCGTTCCGTTGCGTTCATTGACTCTTTTCCTATTGTCCGTTGGCTATGTTTGTTTGTTTGTGCGAAGTACGACTTTATTTTAATGTGACTTTTTGATGTTTTGCGAATTGATGTGGAGTGTTAATCAAGTAAAAGGAATTATACCGAAAACTGTAATTTTTGGCTCAAGCGGAGCTTTAATCCTGTTCTCCATTCGTAAAAACGAAATTCAAACAAAAAAATGATGTTTAGTATTTCCAGCAGAATAGGTAAAATTTATCGATAGATACCGTATTCACAATTTTGTCAATTCTACCAAGTTAGGGTCAAATTTAATGATTTCTTGAAATTCAGTAAGCTGCAAGGTGACTGATTTTTTTTTGTTCTATGATAAGTGGTAACTCTGGCATTTTTGCTTTTTTGGGGTTTCTTTTGAGTTTAGCTTTTTGGCATCTTTCTGTTGGTCATATACTTCTCAAAGTCAAGATATTTATTCGCCATTGTAAAATATTTACAAAAAAATGAGTGTTTTCAAATTTTCTTGGACAACTGCTGACTGAGGTTTTTTCGGCTTTCTTGAGTGTTGTAGCGAAATTATGTGATACAGTGTTGATAAATCGATTTCCTTAGGACATGAAATTGATCAATTTACTTGAAATTTTTTTAAGGAGAAGTGTCTTGCAATCGGGAAACAGAATTTTTCCAAAAAGCAAATTTAGTAAATCTAAGAAAAAAAAGTAGTTGTTATTGAGGCATAAATAAATTTAACGCAGTTGCATAGTGTAATGGTCAAGGGCTTAATTGAGGTTCCAAAGCTCAAGTACTGGTCAGACTTGGTTTTTTTTGCCGTGTATATATTTAGGTCTTTCAATTTTTTTTTGACTGATTGGCCTTCATTAGAAATATTGTCAACTGAGTTCTCGCCTGTTTGTTTTTTCAAATGATCTATTTATTTTCTTTTAAATTTTGATTTATGGGTTTTGAAGTTCTTCTGATGTAATTTTTTCTTAATGTAACTTTCTGACTTTGTCATGATTTCGTCGATTCTTTTTATAATAACATTTTTTTTAACTTTGTCATAATTTTGTCTATTCTTTTTACAATAACATTCTTCTTGACGTTGGCATGATTTTTTCTATTCTTTTCACAGAAACATTCTTCTTGACGTTGGCATGATTTTGTCTATTCTTTCTACAATAACATTCTTCTTGACGTTGGCATGATTTTGTCTATTCTTTTTACAGAAACATTCTTCTTGACGTTGGCATGATTTTGTCTATTCTTTTTATATTAACATTTTTCTTTTGTCATAGTTGAGCCTTTTTCATCAAACTTTAAACAGAAAACCATTTTTTGCATTCATTTTATATTTCCTCTTGCAAACAAAGAACAAGCTAGATCTTGAAAGTGGTGGCGTCTAAATCGTAGATTATTATTATATTTTCTATTGCAAGTTTTCTACATCATGAAAGTGGTGGCGTCTAGATCATTTATTGTTATTATTGTTTTGATTGCAAGTTTTCTGAAAAATTTCTTTGTTTTTTTTTGGCAGGTCAGGTTTTTTTCTCTTTAATTAATGAAGATGCATTGCTTTTAAAAGTCCCGGGCTAGCATAAATTTAAATCATGAAGGATTTTTTTGAGCTCGTTGAAAATTTATTTTTCATCGGCATTTTAAATGTATTTGAAACACTGAATATCCAAATCTATTCACAACTTATTACACTTGCGAGAGCAAGTATCTTGTAATTGGGAAAAATGCTCTTTTCCCGTAAACAGTTTTTCCTACAAATCTTACCTGTTTTTTTTTACTTGCTGTATTATTGAACCTTCAAAATTTTGAGGTTCGTTTCCATTTGGCTTAGAGGTAACATGGTCGCTTTTGCTCACTGATTCGTATTTTTTGAGACCTGTGTAAATTTTGTTAGACCGCTTTTTTTTTAACAATTTTTTGCGACTGTTTTAAATCTTTGTTGTATCGCTAGTGGTGCGAAGCTCCGCCTCGTCTCTGTTGACTTTTTTGTATTTTTTCAGACCATGGTCGGAACATTCTGTGCTACTTACACTGTAACCGGCTATCCTTGTTTATACTTGCGAGAGCAAGTGTCTTTCAAATTTCGTTTCAGCAATTTTTAATGCCTTAAATAGATTTTGAGCGTTTCAGCGTTCCTTCGCCTAGACACATCGAAAAAAAAGCAGTAAGAGTTTCATTAGAACAGTTACTGTGAATACCAAAACAACCTAAAAGTTTTTGAGAACTTATTTCTGTGTCGAGAAAGATTCGAGCTGGTTTGAGATTTCCAATTGGTCTATTTTTGAGCGAGTATTTTTGAGTTTGGATTCTGATATGAATTGCAACAATAATTGAAACCAGTAATAGTTTTTCCTAGGCTAAGATTAGCTTATTCGCTACCCGCAGAAAAACAGTTTGGAACAATTGTTTTTGTTCCGACTTTCGATACGAAAGTAACGGAATATTTGTGCTCGGGGTGGGTTTTTTTCTTTAGACAAATTTCGACTTTTTAACTAGCCATTTTTGATGGAATTTTTTATATTCGAAAGCTATTGTTGTCCTGAGCTTAAATTTGAAAAGATATTTCACCTTTGATCATTTTCTGTAAAGTTATGAGGGTTTAAAGATTGCCATTTTGGCCAATTTGGGACAATTAACGCGCGATATAATTCGCGCCATTAACGCGTAAGCGGAGATTTAATCTGTCTTAGAAATCGTTCCAAATTGGTTGAAAGAAGCCTATTTGCCATAATTGATTTGTTACAAGGAGCGAAACCTATTGTTTTGTACTTTATATGGCGTGTGGGGGGGAAGATTTTTTTTCATTTATTTTATTTCATTTAATTTTTTATGTTGTTTATGTTATTCCTGCTCCACAAACGGTAAAAGGCAGTCGGAACTTTCAGGGCTTTGCCCTGATACGAGCAGTCTTGTTTATTATTTAGGTTGGAAATTTCTCTATTACTTGCACAGAACCTGGTTATTTATAATTGAATTATGTAATTCGTCCTATGACAAATCATTCCAACATAAAACTCGAATACCAAATCAGTAATAAAAATTCACAGTTGAATACAATTTCAAAAAGCCGTTTAATTTTATCTGTGATATTTGAAAGAGAATACTCTGCGATCTGTGCTGTCTCAATAATTTAGCCAGCATCATTTCTTTAAATCTTTCAGTGAGACATGAATAAGAAACCTGGTTTAAGTAACGACTACATAACTGAGCGGGAAAACAACCGAATCACCGATGGCCTCTCTTCCAAAGTATCTCAATTGAAACACATTGCAATCGATATCAGAGACGAAGCACGTCACCACAACTCTTTCCTTTCCTCTCTCTCTGATGACTTTGCAGACAGCGACTCTCTCCTGGGCAGGACTTCGAAGAAGTTCAAGACCACCGTCAATTCCGGATCCCAAAACAGAACTATGATGTGCTACATTATAATGGCAGTCGTATTTTTGTTTCTCTTATTTTACTACGGATCTGGAGCCCTTCTTAGCCGCTCATCCGAATCGTAGTGTTGCTTTTGTTGCTTTGAATTGTACAGATAATTTTTTTTAAGATAAAATTTGAAAAGGTTTTTTTTGGTGCTTCTTCGGTGAAAATTTGTTCAATTTATTGACAAGTTTTTGTCTCCTGAATTAATATACTCATGAAAGATTTGACTATTAATTTAGGCGTTTTTTCTTGGAGTTTATCCTGTTTAACGACCAACGGTGTTGCATATTTGCTTTTAGAGCAGAAATTAACCATTTTTTCAGATTTGTTATATCTATTTTTGAATGGAATGGAACAATGATTAATATTGCACTGCGGAGTAACGAAATGACAACAGATACAGCTTCAGATGATAGTTTCGTGGACTTTCATATCAGTTCTGCAAGGAAAGTGATGGTCAACTCAGCCCTCGAAAATCCCGCTTTAAATGACCAAATAAACACTTCTGAAGAAGAGACTGAACGTAAAGAACTCAATTCCATGCCTTCAATTAGCAACAGTGTAGAAATACCAGCGACTAGTTCGGTGAATAATGACAAGAGTTTCACTTGTAACGTTATCGAAGATGAGAACGAAGAGAACAAAAACGATGGAAGTGAGGATTTACAAAAACGAGGTCCCAAATTGACCAAGTCCAGAAGTCAAATCTCAGTTGGGGCTGAACTCCGCGAAGTCCGCAAAGAAATTGCTGGTCAAATTGGGCGTGAAATGAACATCGATCTGGATCATTTCAATGTGGAAGAACTCTTAGGCGAAGGTCAACGACGTCGGGATTCGCTGGACGACCATCTTTACCATATCGCATGCTTTCCGCAACTCGAAGAAGTAAAGTGTGCTTACTCGTGCCGAGACGAACCCTATCTCAAGAACTTGCAGACCGAATATTCGCAGACAGAGCCGGTGATTGATAGAACTTTGCAAACTGCGTACGAGGCTCATTTGCTGCCGCGAAGGCTGGAGACAGAATCGTCTTTTTCGGAAGCGAGTCCAGAGAGATATGAAGTTTTATTGGAGTTCGAACAGAATCGACCAGTCAAAGGAGACGTGGAGAGTGAAATGATTATGAGAGAAATAGCTCGAAAAGATGTTACATCATATTACGACATGCGAGAAGTGTCGTATTTGAGAAGTATTGAAAACGTTTTCACGCATGCCTTGTGCGAGTATCACCCAATTCCTTCCGAGTTTCGACAGAACGAATGTGCTTATGAAGACAACTATGTTTCAACATATGTCAAGAACGAATGCACAACACACATTTTGCCATGTCAGTTCAGTATGAATCAATGCTTATTGTCCAAAGCTAAATCAAGCTACACTGCATACGCTACGTTCGAAGGATTGCAAAGTGATGGCAGGAACCGCTCGGCCAAAGCTGAAATCAATCTTCCGAGGTTCAAAGGTAGACCTATGTCCTGGACTACGGAACAAAATCTCCCTAAATTGTCTGCAGTGGAGTCCACATTGTGGAAGCCAAATGCCCTAATGACAGCGAAACGAGAAAGCCAACTGGTTAATAATATGGGCTTGATTAAGCTCATAGACAGTCAGTTTTTGTGTACGAACGAAGGGAGGCTAGATAAAGTTTTGGAGCACAAGTTTGATAGCAACGAAGTTCATTTCAGTGCTAGAGACCACGTGCATATGAAACTGCATGACAATATGATAAAAATGAGTGAGGTCGAGCTGATCTTCGAGGAAGAGCGACCTGAACTTAATTTGGTCGAAACAGTGTATGAATTCAATGAGCCGATCCTAATAGATAACGTCGAAGAATAACACATCCTATTGCAGATTCTTGATACTTCATCGCGAAAGTCTAAATATTCGTATTAATGCCCTGATTTCATTAATTCAGCAAGATGAATAAGTAAACTGGCTTCTTTCATTATAAATTTAACACGTAGAGTATGGGTGAATGCAAATTTCATGTAAATAATACGGCTCCTTATTAATTGACTGTTTCTCGAAAATTCTTGCATCAATGTAAAATGGATTCCAATTAATGAATAGTTATTCCAAATGTCCTACTTAGTTTAGAATTCAATATTATTTAATGAAACAATTTAGTGTGCGGTAGTATACGAAATTGAAGCAATAATGAAGCTCGTAATGAATTCATTGTCTGATAGGTAATACGTTTTTAGATCGTGATGTCTTAGTGTCGTTTGGAAGATGTCGGATAAAGAGGGTTCTAAGTTTCCAAAAAATATCGAGGAATTTCTACTGCAACAAAACCTGGTATGTGAAAATGGTGTTTCTTGAAAAAATTTCATTAGATTATAGATTGATCACCATTATTTTTAAAACTGACCAACGCTGCCTGAAACTGTTATGGAAAATGTTGACAAAAAATACAAAGCAACCATAGTACAACTATCTGTCAAGGCCATGAAATTTTTTGGAAGAGTTTCACCTAGGCAGATGCCTCTATAATCAATAGGCTTTCATGAAAATTTGGGCATCATGGCTTAGTTTGGTTTTATTCGGACTTCACGATATTTTACAGATATCTCAATTTGTTTTGAACTCATTTTTGGTTATTGTTCCGACCATTTGAAAAATGGAGAGGAACTTTGTATTCGGGTGTGTTTTATTTTTTTCTGTTTTCGACGCAAAATCAGCTTCCACAAATAATCATCGGAGAGTGTTGAGTGATATATCGTATTAAAGCCCTTATAGTCGTGATTCGAACGACATTAAAAAATTTCGAAACAATTTTCCCAGTGTCGAGAAAAACTGGCTTTTCGTCCGAATTGGAGCGAATAAAGCATGGCTTACAACAGCTTTTTTTAATGGCTTTAAAGCTTATATTTGCTTAATTTAAAACGTAAAACAGTAGTTTTACTTGAGTAACGTTAGTTTTTTTTAGTAATTTATTCTGTTTTTTCTTTTCGTTTATCGTTTTTCTAGTCGTTTTTTTCTTAAAAAAAATTGTTTTTAGTTTGCTGATTTGACTATCAGTGTCGAATATGCCTAATCTCCAGTTTTCCGTTCTGCTCATTTTATCACACTACAACGAAAAAAAAACGAGACTATTGAAGAAAAAAACTTTTTTGTATTTTTTTAAGACTATGGTCGGAACATTCTGTGTTACTCGCACAGTAACCGGCTATCCTTGTTACATTTATTTTTGGTTTATTTTTTTCAATTTATAGTTAAATTTAAATCAAGGCTTTTTTGGTTTCAGTAATTTCAAGGCATAGTTCTCTATGCTCGCGCAATTTAACTTTTCCCGCATATTAGTTAAATAGGTAATACAAACAAAACAAGGATAGTCGTCGCTTCCGACCACAGAAACTCAAACATAAAAGAAATAGTAAAAAAAATTCAAAATATCAAAAAAAATCTTTATCAGTATTTTAAGATGAACGGCAATTGAATAAGGCACAACGCTGATTGTTGGGCGACTGATTGTTAAAATAATCTTAAAAATAAATGCGCTGTGTAATTTGGTCTCCATGTGTTGTACGTGTAATAATCACTGAGAAAAGTATTATGTTTTTTTTCCGAATTAAGATCAATAGGGCTTTATTGTAACACCACACCTGTGGCCCTACGAGCTTTCTGCGAGGTAGTCAAAGTCAGAGTCAAAAACACACCTAATCCTGTTAAGAATCTTGAAATCGGGTTGAGTGGGAACAATTATTCGTAGATGAAAACATTTCAACTTGGTGTGATTTTTTTCTTAGTGTTTTGTACTAATACAAGCCTTTTTGTCTTTCGTGAATTATCTAGTCTTCAGTGAACTATAACATTTCTAAAGTTTTATCTAACATACTCTAAAATGGTTTGAAAAACAAGCTCAAAAATATTTGTGTTGAACCTCAAAATTGAGGGAATATAAGAAGCCTGGATTTTCCTATATAGAAGAACAGAGCACTAAAATTTTGTGCATTTTATCAGAACATCTAATACATTTTTGGGCCAAAGTGTGTCGCATGCATGGAATTTTTCAATATCACGCTTTTTTCACCTGAAGTTACGATGAAAACGTTTTTTTATGTAACTCTAGGAAACTATGGCGGAGATTCTTTTTTTGCATTTGACTCAAAGTAACTCAAGGAAAGCGCGTAGAGAGGTCAAGCGTGGAGAAAAATTTTTAAGCGCGGAGAAAAAGTTTTCAGACCAAGTTAGAGCGGAGATTACTGATGTCGCTAGGCATTGATGTCTGAAAGAGACGATGGGTTTGTTTGAAGCAGTAATTAACCTGTTTTTTGACTCGTGTCTGATGTTTTGATCAGTGCTACCTGTAATCGGGAACTTGACTTTTTCCCTGTAAACAACTTTTGTGACAAATCTAGAAGAAATTCGTAAGTTGTTTTTATAGTTAACCTTAGCAACTCCCAGGCTCCTTCCCACTGGAACTCGAGGTAACGCGTTTGCCTTTGTACCCAAATGTCGGGTTCTAGTCCCGGTCGGGCTTGGTTTTTTTCACTATGTATGAAGTTGAGAACTTCTTTTCGGGAAAAATTGATTTGACTGCTTATGCTGTGTCAGCTTAGTTGCCATATCGGGATCTTTTCTGGTTCAGTCAGCTTTTTTCATCGTAGATGCAAGTGTCTTTGATTTACTCCTGTAACTTGTACAATTAATAGCTATTACGTTGTATTTTGTTTTAGGTTTTCCTTGTTTCTGTTTCGCTTAAAAGCTTTGATCGTTTTCGGTTTATGTTGTTGCTCAAATACTAAAAGCTTATTCAATACTGGTGGGTATGTTTTTCTACTGTTTTCTTAAAATTATGTTCTTTACTATCTTGTTATTTCCGTCTCATTTTCTGGTCGCTAGCTTGGAATGCTGCATTTGCGTTGTATCGCAAGTGATGCGAGGCTCCGATTCGCCTCTGTGTTAAGAGTTTTTTTGTAAGTTAAATGTGACAGCAACCGGCTATTGGCATTTTGCTGATTCTTGCGGCTAGCAACTGAACGTTATTGCAACCGGTTGGCTGATTCTGCCCATTTGGCTTAGAGATTATGTCGGTGCTTGGTATGACAAAGGCGTAGGGTTCGAGTCCGGACGGGATTTGTAACTTTTTGCAAACTTGAAGTTTTCTGGTTTCTGTAATTTAATTTTTCTGACTAAAGTGTCTGGTTATTTTTTTGTCGACTTAGTTCTCGCGGCAGGTTCTTTCCATGAATGCTTGTTATGCTATGTTTCTGATGTATTTATGTTTGGTTCTCCTAATTTTGTTGTCGTTTTTTTTCTGAATTGGTTTTGTTCTCCTGGTTTTATTTGAATTTTGGTGCATTTGAAATTTTTAAGGAAATTCAGTTTTCAATTTAATAAAAAGCAATTTTAAAACGTTTTTTTTTTGTTTCGAAATTTTGCTTTAATATAGCTGTTCTGTTTCTTATTCGATAACAAAGTTATAGTGATTCTAATCCCCGCTTTGCTTCTGTGTCAATCTTCGCTGTAAGATGAATATCTGGTTATGCATGTTCTTTTCTGTATGTGTAGGATGAGTGGCCTCAGAAACTGTCTGCTGAAGGATCCCTGCTGGTCAGTGTAGACTCTGTGTTGGGATCCAAGGAGGACATCAGGGACACATTGAAGAGTGCCGCTCCACTTCGCCTAGAGGTAACCGAGATGAACACGACAGGGCTAGTGTCATTCAAGTGGATCACTGATCTGAGATTCAGAAATTTTGGCTCATTGGTAGTTTAATCGGTCCTTAACTTCGGCTTGCTTTTGTGTACTTGATTACAGAAGCAACGCTGGTGTTGTACAATGACCGAAGTTGAGTTCAAGTCTTTTTTAAGAGTTGATAAGTTTTATATTCTTTCGATTGTGAAAGAGTGTTTTCTCGCACTTGCAATTGGTAATTTTCTTTTTCTTTGCTTTTAACTATATTCTAGGTGACCTGGAGGGATCCTACGAAAACGGTTGAATAAACCGTATAGCGTTTCTGAGGTAGAGTTGGCGGCAGTTTAATTGATATGAAAATGTATCTCAAATGTTTGTCTAAATCGAAAATCAGTTCAGTCAACTTTTTTAAATAGCTAAAGAGTTTATTGTAGCTAAAGAGTTCTAATAGCTAAAGAGTTTCTTGATTGAACTGTCAATTATCTTCAGTAACGTTTGAAAACCATTTGTAAAGGTATTTTTCAGGCGGTAATGGAGTCGAATCACCGAAAAATGATTGCGTTTAGCGCCACTTGAGTTGACCTTACAAAATAATTGTCAAAAGTTCAGAACTTGAACTCTGTATGTTTGTGTAAATTCAGACCGAATCTTATAGCATTTTGGGTATAAAAAAAATCTCTCCTACAAATTACAAACGGAATTATTTGCATAAAATTTAGCAGCCTCTAAGAGTTTTCGTCTTTAACATAGGAATTAATTGATTTATAAATGATTTTATTGGCAAGAAGTATGTTTTAAGTGGAAAGGTATCATTGGAAAGGCCGCCTCTTCACGCGTGTGCCTGTAGACTCTCCTAGTTGCTCTTTATCCTAACCCATTTTCTACAGCCTTCGAAAAGTTATGTGGGGTAACGTTTGACCCATGTGTGTGGATTTTCTGAAATATTTTGGTTCATTTTTTTGGGTTTGTTAGAATTTCCCCGCGGAGATCGTTTTACACAAAAGCTTCTCCGAAAAGTCCAATTTTTGATTTTTGTGTCTGATTTTTTTAGATACTTTTGGACTTAGATAATTTGGACTCAAAACTAACATGCCAAATCTGATACATGTTCAATCGAAAGTACAGTTTTTGGAAAACTCCTCTGTGTAAGCATCTTTGCGCAAATTTTTTTAAAAAAAGTTATGGCCCTCGGAAAAGTTTTAAAAAAGTCAGTCTTCGAAAATATTTGAGTTTTCTCAAAAACTACTCTCTCAAAATTAATATCAAGGGTTGAAGTCGGGACAACAGGTTGTGAATAGCCTCCTATCGGACCTTTTTTGACTTTTCTCAAACACTACACTGCCAAATCGGAGATTAAGTGCTCAATTGAATTGGTCTTGGAACAAATGTTACGTCTTTGTGAAAAACCCACTTTTTGAAATTTCATTTTCATTTTTTTTCACTCAAAAACTACCTGCAAAATCTGAGAATTATAGTTCAGTCGAAAAAAAAACAGTTTATGGGAACCTTCCATGCAGAAATTGATCCTCGATTACGGGTTCAATCGAAGAAAAGCCTTCGTGTCTTTTTTCTGCAGAAGCTCCGACGCTTTACACCAGTCAGCTTGCGAGCATTTGTATTAGTACGAACCTTAGAACGGTCGCAGATCGAATCCAAGACGTAGCGAATTTTAACTAATTCGAGGCTTTAATTTTTACTTTTGTTTTAATTGCACTTTATAGAGATGCTTTTTATCGTGTTCTCGCTAATTTTTGCGACGCACAGCTTCGCCTCTAGGTAAAAAAAAATTTTGTGTTTGAGAAAAATCACTTTGCAATGCACAATCTAATTTTTGTCTCTAATTTTTGTAGATAAATTGTTATTTGGAAAAAAAATTGAGATGCTCTGCCAATTCTAAAGTTATAGGTTCAAAATTCATCCTTGCCTAAATTGTTATTCTCTTCGTTTGTAAAAAAAAACAGTATTACCTTACGAAAAGTCTTTTTTTTGTTTTCACGAAAATGTTCTTGTTTTTCATCGAAACTACCCTTTCAAATTTGAATTGAGTTCAGTTGAAAGAACGGGTAGTAGGCATCTCCTCTATATAAATGGAAATTTGCTTATTTTGTTAGAGAAACCACTATGGTTTTAGGTAAATTCCACTGCATGAATTTTGAAAATGGCGCTGTTCATCCAGCACCAATACAACACTTTTTAACAAATGTCAAACAGGGATCTCCAGTTCAAGCTGGGCCCCTTAATCAGAATTTTCAGCGGAATAAAAACTTTACCCAATGATCTACTTTTCTCAAACTGGGTTAGTTTTATCAAAAAAAGGCTAGGTATAAATAGCTCTAGAAATTCAAATAAGTTTGAGGCCGTCTATTTTTTCTTCGAAATTCGAGGTTTTTTCAAAAAACGTCAATTTTTTTTTGCGTTTATTTTTGTTTTCCAACTGTCATTTGGCTATGTTCTTTATAGCTGCAAGTGTTTGTTGTTCATTGTGTTTTTAGAAGACTTGATACTTTTTTACAAAATCAATTTTTTGGCGCAACTGGTGTCTGCTCAAAAATTGTCGTTTTGTTTCCGATTCGTCAGTTTTGTTCCGTTGCTAATTTAAATTTCAATTGTTTTGCTCGGCATGTTTGCTCAGATTGAAATTTTATCGAGACATACGAAAATTTTATTTAGTAGACCTAGTTTTTTCAACATTTTTTGTTTTTGTTTTATGTTTGTGTTGTATCGCAAATGATGCATTTGTCTCTGTGTTTAACTTCCCATGTTGACTTATTTATATGCCTGAGTTTTGCAACGCTTTTAATGTTTAATAAAGTCAACACTTTAAAATTTGTCGTAGGGCGAATGCTTTAACTTATCATTTTTAATTTATCTACAATGCAAACTTCTAAGGTTTTCTTTCTAGTGTTTATTTGAAATCATCACATTTGAAATAAGGAATCTTATAGTTGGGTTTTGTCAGGGTTCTGCCTCGGGCTGCAATTTTCGCGTGCCGGAAAACAAACCGAATATTCTTTCTTAAAATCGTGAAATATGATTAGTTTGAAAACTTTTTTTGAAGAATTGTTGATTTTCATGATCTGTCTTTACTAGTTATTGGCGTTTTAATAAAATTTAAGCCTCCAAATGAAGCTTAGGAAAGTTGATAAATAAAACACGATTGAAATCGTTTTTCATGTTTACAATTTATGCTTTTCAAAAACCGGCTGATGTTATTAACGGATGCCAATGCCAAGTGGTTCATTGTCATGAATAACGCTTATTATGGACTAAACATGCCTAAGTTTTTGAAAATTAACATTTTTAAGTTGAATAAAAAGTGTTCTCAGCTGCCGTTATAATTTTCGGCCAGAAGTCCCGTCGGCCTGTTGTCCTAGACCCGCAAATTTTGCCTTCAAACATGAATTCCTAAAATTTTCTAGCTTACGAGAATTAACTATTAATCTGATTTTCTAGAAATTTTCATAGCACTTAGTGTTAACAGCTTCCGAAAAATTGAGCTTTGAACCCTATAATTAAAATAGTTTCGAAGTACTTTCAGGGATTGCAAATCTTCCCTTCAAATTTAACTACTCAAAACTTTTTGTTTTCGTGACATGCAGTGTTTTCTTTGATTTTTGCAAAAATTTTCAAAAAAGTTAGATGTTAAACAACTTCTAAAAGTTCGAACTTTTCAACTCAAATTTTCTTTGATTTTGTAAAAATTTTCAAAAAAGTTAGATGTAAATCTTTACATCTAACTATTTTGAAAATTTGTACAAAATCAAAGAAAACACTTCATGCCACGAAAACAAAAAGTTTTGAATTAAAAAGTTCGAAATTTTTAACTCTATGGTTGGTGTACTCTCAGTGCTGGCAAATTTTTTCTCATAATTTTACTGCTCATTTCACTTAAGTTTTCGAGATATGGCTTTTATAGATTTTTCAAAAGTTTTCAAAAAATTTTCAGCAGGCTGCAAATCTGGCCTTCAAATTGGACTGCTCAAATTCTTTTTAGTTTTCGAGACATGCCAATTTTCATGGTTTTTTGAAAATTTTCAAAAAAGTTTGATACAACAAATTTCAGAAAATTTGAAATTCGAAACTCAGCGATGGGTTGCTGTCAATGTACTCTCAGGAAGCTTGTATCTGAATCCCAAATCTGACTGCCGAACGCCTTTTAGTTTTCTCTGAGATATGGCGTTTCTTGGTTTAACAAAAATTTGCACAATTTTTAAGTTTAAAAACAGTTCTCAAAAAGTTCTCGACCCTGTGGCGGTGTGAAGTCAAAAAATTCGTTTTTCGAGATTTGACAATTGTTTCGAGATTTGATTATTGTTTCAAAAGATTTGACAATTGTTTCAAAAGATTTGGCAGAAATTTCTTTAAGTTCGAAAATTAAGCAAGCCCTATGGTATGGTGTGTGATAGTATTCTCACGCGTTGAACATCTGACCTCAAATTACGACTGCTAAAAGTTTTTATATTGCTCAGATCTAACGTTTTATGTTTTCAGCTCAAAAATTGTAAATAAAGTGAGGAATTTGTTTCAAAAAAAGTACTAAGATCTTATTTTTTGCAGTACGCTCGATTAACCATTTGAGTACGGGTTAATTTTAAAAAATTTAAAAATTGGGTACCAGACTTTTTCCCCGTAAATAACTTTGTTCACAGAATAGTCAATTGTAGTAGAAATGGTAAATTTCACGACTACAGTCATGCTCAATTTCTTGAAATGTCAAATGCCATCATTTAGAAGGTAATTTAAGGGGGGGGGTTCGTTTCAGCTAATAGCTTTTTTTTTTCAAACAAAAATTTTTGAAAAAAAGATTGTTTTTTTTTCGTATTTGTAGCTTTCCTCTTAGTTTCTGTCGGCTCATTTTTCCTTTTTAAAATGCAGTTTGTATTATCTGGTACAATTTTTGGGCTTAGTTTTCAAAGCATAGATTTCTTTTGATTGACACAGTTTCTACTATGATTGAAAGTTCTGTAATTTGTGATTTTTTCGTTTTTTTTCTTCAATTAAATAATTTTCGTTGGCTTATGCTATTTCAGAATAGTCAATAATGATGCGTAGTTTTGTGTATTAAATGTATGTTTTTGTCTTTCGAAAAAACTTATAAAACTTTGTAATACAACAGTTTTTTTTCAAGTTCTTCTTTTCCCTATTCTGTTCCTTTTACTATTTTTTTCTTTAATATTGAACCCCAACATCTAATAGGTTCCTTCCCAATTAGCCCAGGTGTAACGCCGTCGCCTTTGCATCCTAAGGGTTCGCGGCTTGGCCGGGTTCGTGAAATGCCGGCTCAACTGGTGTCTGCTCTAAGATTGTCGGCTTAGTTGCTACATTACAGATTTTTCTTCTGATGTGAGCAACTAGATGTCAGTAGTTGCAATTACAAGTGTTGTTCATGGCAGCTCAGGTCGGACTTAAACTCTTAAGATTTTTTAATCAAATCATATTTTTTTTCGGAGCAACTTCTTTCTGGCCTAAGATTGTTGCCTCTTCGTAAGTTTTTGTTCCGTGGCTAATTTAATCTTCAAATTGTTGGCATGAATTTCTATCAAGACATACCGACAAATTTAAATATTTGGTAGACCTAGTTTGTTTTATTTTGTTCATTTTTTTCCCGACTTCTTATGTTTTTTGTTGAATCGCAAGTGATGCGAAGTTACACTTCACCCTTGTGTATCTTTTATTTATTTGTAGTTTTCACGTTCAAAAGCTTGTTTGAAGCACTTGAGGTGCAAGTTACCCGCTAGTTTATTTTTAAATATTACAGGAGAGATAGGATTACTAAATTCATACCTATGGGTTTGAAATAGGATTTTAATTGCTCCGCTGATTTTTTTTTGTTTAAGCTGGAAAAATTGACCATCAGCCTTGAACTTTCGGAAATTAAATTAATTTTTTTATATTGAAATTGAAAAATTTTATAATATCAAAATTTATTATATCAAATTTTATAATATCTAAAACTGTTTGAAATTATAAAAAACGTTTACTACAATACTTTTTATAAATTTCATCGTCTGCAGTTTGTAAATCTGAATCAGCAGAAACTAAATATCTAGTTTCTCACCAATTCACTATTTAGATATTTTTCTACAAAATTTGAAGCAATTATACTTCTTAATCTGTAGGAGATAAAGAAGATTCCATTCATACCTATGGGTTTGAAAATTGATCCAAACATTTTGCCTTCATTTTTCATCTTACATCAAAAAATGATCAATGGCCCTGAAAATTCACAATTGAATTGTATGATGTTCAGTATCGAGAATTTATTAATTTAGGTTAAAGATCTTGAAATTTCAAATCTGAACCCACGTAACATGCTATCGCGTAAGGATACTTCTGCTGTTCGAACACTCAAAAGAACGTGAATTGAAAGTGTCATCATTTTTTGCTGAGGTGAAGCTGAGTTAAAATTATAATAAACATTTTGAATTCAGTTTTCCAAATTCTTTGATAAAGGTTCGTGTTGATTCGAGCTCGCAGTTCAAATTACTAGCCATGTGCTTTTCAAAAAAATTTTAAGGCAATTAATGCGCAATGTTTTAAGAAAATATTTTTCGTTTTCGTGAAGGATTTTTGTTGCAGCGCAAATGTAAATATTAGTTCAGCGTGCCATTTCTGTATATATTCCTGAAGGATTTTATCATTTGTTTTTATCATATTTTGATGGGAAAACAAGTTTTTAATGCGTGGTTTTTTTCTGAATCTTTTCGGATCATGGGTTTTGTCAGCTTTGTTACAGCTATCTAATTTTTGTTCCTATGCTAGCGCAAAATTCAGTTGTATTACTCTGCATGTTTTTCTCAAAATCAACTTTATTTGAAGCAAATCGAATAAAACATATGGAAGTTCTGATAGATCTGTTTTTTTCTCAATTTTTTGTGCCTTCCGTCTCCTTTTCTGTCAGCTAGTTTGACACGCTACGTTTGTATTGGGCTGCAAGTGGTACGAAGCTTCGCTTAACATCTGTGTTAATTTTAACAGTCTCTTCAATCATTTAAACCCCCGTTTTTCTCGTAGGTTCTGGATGAACTGGAAGATCGACTACTGAAATTGGAGAGCGAATTGGTCCAGTACTCCTCAATGACCTTGACTGACATTGTAAGACCTTCTAAAATCAAAGACGGTATCTTCAACGTACCGAAAAAAGGTACGTTTCAGTGTAATCGAACCATTTATATAAAATGACAAGTGGTATAATTAGAACGAACTAGGGTGTAATTACACAAGCGCACATGCTGAAGTCAGGCAAGTTTTAAGGCAAGGGAAAGAGCGAGAAACTTATTTTTGTGAGCATTGCTGAGTTCAAGCTCATGGCTTTCGAGCATGTGGATTTCATAAGTTATGAAAAGTTCTTTTAGGGTACATGGGCAACTCCATTTTTTCCCTTTTTAACCATCTGTCAGTTGAGCTTTTTTTGAGCATTTCAATTATTTTGTTCGCTAGGTTTTTTTTGAAGAAGGTTTCCTAAAAATACGTCTCGCTAAATGCTATTTTTTCGCAGTTTGACTTGTAACTTCTTCCTAGGTTCTCTAGAGTTTAGTTCGCTACATAGAAAAAAAATTACGCTTTTCGAAGTTAAAGAAGCCGTTGGCGAGAACATGGAGCTTGACTTGTTTCCAATCTGGTTGAGATGATGTTATGTTGTTATAGGGCTCCCAAATTTGAAAAATAGCCGAAAAAACTGACGGTTTTCTCGGGCTGCTCAACATGGTCACTAGAAAAACATGTACCCATCGTCAATTTTTGCAGGACTTTTGCTCGTAATGCAAAGAACAGCTTTCTCATTTCAAAACTTGTCAGTTTTACGATAATGTATGATTTTCAGCTGAAATCATGGAACAAACTGGCAATGGAATTGAAGCTTTCAGAGAAGAACTGCAGAAAAAACAGGTGCTGGCAGACTGATATGAATTTAACTTCTGCTAATAATAATATTTGTTTAACTGCTTAGTGGATGATCATTTTGTTGTGTTCCTAGAGACGAAAGAAGGCTGGAGTGAACGGCGACGCCAGCTCAAAGAGCGTGGAGGTGAGAACGGTATTAGACACCTTACATATTGAGATCTATTTCTACACTAACTTACACTTGTGTTATGATCGAGATCAACTTTTCCAACCCAGCTCGAACTTTCTTGCGTTCATGTTCTGTTCAATTTCGAATTAACAGCATGTGTTTTATCCGGATTACCAATAATGCTTCCCTGGTCCTTTTTTAAAACCCCTAGTCCCGCAACTCTTTCGTTTCAGGCAACACACTTCCCAGGGTTTTTCCCTAAAGAAATGCTCGATTTTCCCGGTCAGTATGAGGCCCCAGTCCTGATGAATGCTGTGACGAATCGTCAAAGTTTCAATGTGAGTAAAGGTTGTTGTTGTAAGTTTTAGTTATCGGTGCTGTTTTACCCTTACGATAAGCAAAGGTATGCAAACGGTACTAGATTTTTACCCGTAAACTTTGTTAGCAGAATGGGCGAAATGGTAATCAGTAGATTTTTAACTGCTGGGATAATAGGATGGCTCTTGTATTGATGGTGTATGTGCCTTGGGTGCACGGGGTTGGCTTTAACTATGTCGGTTTTTTCCAAGGGTTTTATTCAGAGACGATGAACGTAGCTTAGACTTTTGTTTAGGGCGTGGTTACCATTTTTTCGTTTGTTTTTAGGAAAAGTCTAAAAATTTGTTTTTTTTTTCCTGAAACAAATCAGGAAAATTTGTTCACGTTCAAAACTGTTTTTGTTTCTCTGTTTGACTGCTGACTTCTTTTTAAGTTCAGCTCAATTTTTTTGTTGAAAGGAAGTCAATCTTCACTATCGAGCAGCGTAAGTGTAAAGGGCACGAAAAACGTGATTGACTTCTAATTCCAAAATTTGAATTTAGTTATCAGATTTCCCAGCGTAATACGTTTTTATTTATTGATCCAGTTTTTTACACTTGCGGCCAGCGTAGTGTAGTAGTACGAACCTTCTTTTTTCTAACCTAAATCACTTATTTGTCTGCCTCTTTGTACAATCACGATCAGTAACCTTGGCAATTTCATAGCATCTGTTCTCTGCTCTATTGTGGCTAGTGTTTGTGATTTATTAAGCGTCCCTAGCTGAGTGGTAAGTGCGTTAGACTCTTAGTTTCAGGGTCGCAGATCTAATAGGAGACGTAGCCGAATTTTTACTAATTATTTCTACTTTTTCTTATTGCGCGTTATAGAGTTGACTTTTTCCGTGTTCTAGCTAGTGTTTGCGAAGTGCAGCTTCGCCTCTGTGTTAATTATTCCATCGCCTGTATGTTGAGTTTGATGATTTCACAGGCTGCTCGATGTTGTGTTCTCACTAGTGATTGCTAAGCGAAGCTTCGCCTTTGTGTTCAAATTGCGTTAACTTTATAACAAAAAGTGTCACCCATAATTTGTTCGAGAAATTTAACGAGCTTTAAGGCCATCTTTTTTTTGTTTATTTTCGAAAATTGGAATTTTCTTTTCTGTTTAATTGCGTTCATTGACACTTCTCCAATTGTCTGTTGGCTATGCTCCAATCAGTTATTGTTGGTATAATATGAGATCGAGTTCTAACGAGAATTTTTTGAAAAGTCTTAATCAACTTTTTAGACCCTTTAATGAAACTGTAAGTATATTTTTTTGATTCAGGTAATTGAGTAAAGGAGTTTTTTGCTTACTGTTTAATGTTTTTTTAAGTATTTTGTTTTTTCCGTTGTTTCTTAATGGTAGCTTTGAAGCTAGCCTGAAGCGTTATCATTTCCGAAAATCAATAATTAGCAAGTTGAATCTTTTGTTGTTTTTTTTCCTGCTCTTTTTCCTGATAAACTTAGTGTTTTTCTCTGGTTCTGCACACATTAATTTTTTAGAACAACACAGCTCAATTATTTTCTGTTTGCTATTTGCTGAAATGATTATTTTTGATGTGCATTTTTTTCATTGCATTTTTGATTTCAATGTTTGGGTGTGTTATCTTGGTATATGTGTTCAATTGTGTCCTGTTCAAGTTTTTGTTCAACTACTGTCGGAATTTCTATCTTTGGATAGTAAAATCTAATGATATTTTCCGGTTTAAAACCTAACAAATCATATATATTTTTGTCAGGCGTTTTTCTTTAGAACCAAGTTTCCTAGTTTTCAGATTTGTATATTTTCAATCCAAGTAGGGGAATTTTTTTTCCGTTGAAAGGTGTTTTTCTGGTTTGGCTCCTGTAAAGTGAATTAAAGTCGTTCAGTGTTTATAAATATTCGTGTTTGACAAATAAATTAGAAAATATTGATTTTTTGGGTTTTTTCATCATTATGTGCAATTTACAAATGCAAGGGTTTCCTTGCTTGTCTTAGAGCAGTTTGATGGAGTTAGACTGAATTGATTGAATGTTTTTTTTTGCTGATGGATAAAAAATTTCGCGATGCATTATTTTAAATCTTCATAATTTTTTTTACTTTCATTTTCGTGCTTCAATAATTTTTGTCTTGTTATTTTTCTGAGGATCGATGTTCTTTCGGAAGTGAGGCCAAGTTTATTGTTTTTGAATGTCAGGATCAAAGTGAGTTATTACCCTTGCAATCGGGTACTAGACTTTTTTCCCGTAAACATTTTTGTCCACAGTACTCATCTGGACTCGTGGTACCTTGGCTCATAATGAATTCAAATTTTTTATTGTTTCTTGCACACTTAGCTTGGAGGTAACGAATGCGCCTGAGACGCCCAAGGTCTCGGGTTCAAATTTGACTAGGACCTGTTTTTTACGATAAGTATTCCGGTTCAAACAAAGTTCGGCTGATTATTTGTCTGCTTATGTTTTATCGGCTCAGTTGTCAGATCAAAGAATCGTTTTTTTTTGCTGTAAACAATTTTCACTGCAGCTGCTTTAAGTATTTAAGCAAAAATCCGGCAGATTCGAAATTTGTTTTTAATACTGGTGTTCATTTTACCAACTCGATTTTTCAAAATGTCTTGTTTCAAAAATGTCTTTCATTTTTTCTTTTTTATTGGGTTAATAAGTTTCGGCTCAATTTATATCGACCTAGTGACCTCTTATTGCGTCGTTGCGTCCGAAAAAAGTTTCTCTGCGTGCGTGTGCTCTGAGGGGAAAAGAACATGAAGTTTTTTTGTTAGCTTAGAACTTTTTTTGATGTTTTTTCGGCATGAAAAATTTCTGCTCCGGTATTTTCGGCTTTGTTGCCACATGGTATTTATAAATGTAAACTCAATCAACCATCCGGCGCATCTAGCGTAGAGGTGACACAACTGCTTGAGACCGCGTTTTCCTTGACAATTTTTTATTGACAAAAACGATATTTTGATTTTTTTTCTTCAAATTTTTCCGTTTGATGATAATCAAACTTGTATCGCTAGTGGAGCCAAGCTCAGCTTCGCCTCTGTGTTTAATTTCAAGTTAAACGTTATAATAACTTATGTTGTTAAACGGTATAATAACTAATGATAGCGAACTTTTCTGCGATTGAGTTGAATTTTCCAAAGTTTGTTCTTCATGAAATGCTCATGTCCCCTTTATCTCTCCTTAAATATGATTATTTTTTTGGACAATTTTGTGAAAAAAATCTTAAATTAAAACTCATGTATGGTTTATACAGAATACGATAAATGCGTCCACAGCAGAATACAATCAATCTGTGATCTAACAAATATCCTTTTTTTTTAAATTACAGCCCGGCTTCATGAAATTCTGGAAGCGCATCTTTCAATCGGAGGCTTCTGTCGCAATAATGCAGGACACTTTCTGGTGGATATTTCTCGACAAGTTTGAAGTGAGTCAGGTCATTGTCATTTGCATTCCATCTACCTTCATTCTAGTGCACTATCTATTTCGCGATATACAGCGTACGATTAATAGGCTATATTGCCTTAATGACAGTAGCTTCAATGCTGCTTGAATTTATAGCTCAACAGTTTTAAGCATGTCTGGCGATGCAAACGAAAAATTTTGATGCGCTTACATCCATTTGATTGCGGTCCATAATTGAAAACTATAAATCTCACTTTGAAAAGATTGGCTGGAATTGGAGATTAAACGTGGTTTTGCTAATGCGCAATCTTTTTTAAGTGTGTAATTAAGGGTAACTTAGGGCAAGTACACAAAACAGAGGTCTGCACGTGATGGTGGCAGTGGAGAAGGAGATGGCGAAAGTGGATCTAGTGTGGCGAGTGGTATGATGGGTGAGCGAGAAGTACAAGTGGCCAAGGACAGATTGTTCAACCGAATCGCAGACAGCTTTGTAGCCATGCTTTTCAGTATACATCCAGACATGAAGGACAAATTCCTCAATGTAAACACAAAAAAGCTCGCTCAACATGAGTCAGTTATAATAAAAAAAAAAGTTGGCAAACGGGCTGAAAGTTATGTAAGAGCATCATAATTCACCAATGAAAAACTTGACAGAAAACGTGTCAAATCTTAGTTTTTAAAAAGTTGGCAGACTTTTGATTATTTGGAATTTTTCTTCCATTCAGTCCTTCTGCTATGTGATAACCCCCAAAAATGGGCATAAAAGAAGAAAAATTGTCTTTTTTTCTGGCCTTAATCCGCTATTCTCAATTTTAATGTTACTTTTTAATGAACTTTTTTGCTCATTTGAGTGCATCAATCAAATTTCTGTTGGTTATGTTCATCAAACATCCGAACAGTCAATTTACTCGAACAATTTCATGCTCTTTAAAGTTTGTTATTACAGTGTTTTTTGAATTGTTATAAAACGAGTGTTATAAATGTTTAGGTGTATCCAGACGTGTTGGCTCAGGCCATCTGTGCTTCATACGTGGAATGCTTCCCCATGTCTAAAATTCTGTTCAACGACAACTTCAAGCATTACGTGGCCACGATCTGCTTCCAATGGATATCTGGTGAGAACTTCAACATGCTATACCCAAGAACATCCCGAACATTTATGTATTCAGACCTAAGTTTTTGTGAGGTTGCTGATTCTTATCCGATTCAATGATTTGAAATAATAAAACTGAAACTAGCAAACATGCAAATAGCTTGCCCCATTTTCTGAGTTCGACAATTTTTTAAGGAATTAAGCCTGGACCCATGCACCTGCGTGATTGGAATGTTGACAAACTAATGGCATCGGCAGACATCTCTAATCCAATTCTGGACGCTGCGAGGTCAGGTGATACAAGCAGTGCGTCAGGCAAAAATACCCCGAGAAAGATATCTAGGCACGCTGCAACTCAAGAAGGTGAAGACATGATATTATCTTTCTTCCATATTTTTTTTTTCACCAGTAGAACAGGCTGAGGTTAATTATTAAATAGCGAGAAAAACATGGAAAAATAGTCACTAGTTTTTTTTTTCGTTTTTCATGGGTTCGACATTTTTACAATAGTCTATTTGCTCTGGATTTCCGTTAGGCCTTGTGCGAAATCATTTGCAATAATTTGAGCAATCAGCTTGAGCGAAAAAAAAGATTGAAATTAAGCAAAATAAAGTGATATGTCACGTGGATGCTCAGCATTCTTTTTTACTCGTTATTTTGCTTCGGCTGAACGTGATAATTGTTAAAAATTAATTGACGAGAAGAATTACTTTTTGGAAGAAGAAATTTTTTCTGCTCGGAAAACATTTGTAGTCGGATTATTGTTTGTAAGTATATTTTTTGCGACTGTGTTTCTACAGCATCAATTTTTGTTATGAGTTTTGATTTTTTCAGGGAATCATGTGGTTATTTGGTTCAAGATATTTGGCCCATTTTTTTCCGTTCGACTGAACGTCAACAAAAGCACTGAATGGAGTCTTGTCTCAAACTATCTGAAATTATGATTTTATCTGATTGCAAAATTGTGAGAAGAAAATCCAATTTTTTTCTTTAGTTACACTAGCAAGCTTGCCAGCGTTAGTGTTTTAGTACGATTCTTCTTCTTTTTTTACACCTAGTTCGTAAATAAAAGTGTTCATTATTTGGTGGCACTTTTGCTATAATCACGATGTACCATTGGAAACTTAGTAGCATCTGTTTTCTGGTTTATTTGTGGCCAGTGTTTGTGATCCATGAGGCGTCCTTGGCTGAGTGGTTAGTGTGTGAGACACATAATTTGTAGGTCGCAGATCGAATCCGAGACGTAGACGAATTTTTACTAATTCGAGGCTTATTTCTATTTTTTTTCTTTTGCTTTTTATACAGTTGATTTTTTTCCGTGTTATCGCTAGTGTTTGCGAAGTGGAGCTTCGCTTCTGTGTTAATTATTCCTTCGCCTTTACGTTGAGTTTGATGATTTCAAAGGCGGTATATTGTTTAGCATAAAAATTTTAAACTTCGAAAATCGTATCGACTAGCATAAAAAAATCAAACAGGAAATTAATTTTTGTTTAAATTATTATGATTATACAAAAAAGAAATATTATAAATTATAACGTGTTCACGCAATTTATATGTTTCGCGACATCAGTGTTCAGTTCATGCCATTACATGTCAACTAACAATGTGACAGATCACTATTAATGTGTTAAGGAATTTTTTTGCTTGTTTATTGCTGAATTTTCAACTGCTCAAGCAATTTTATGTTTCTCAAAAAAGCAAAATTCAATTTGAATGTAATAGGATTGTTGAATTGTATTTCTAACAAAAAAGAGACATCTTTATTAGGCTTTTCAGTACTATGGGCTATTTTAAATTTATTTGTGCAATTCGTGCGGGCACCGATTTCTAAGTATAAAAGAGAAAAAGAGAATAGATTCGTCTTAGTTAGTCTGGAAGAACTTTTTTTTTTGAATATTTAACAAAATATGTCACATAGCATATCTTTGTGTATCGCAAGCGGTGCGAAGCACCGCTTTGCTTCTGTCAAATTTTGTTTTTAAAGGATTTGATCTTTTTTGCAATCAAAACATCTCCTTGTAATTCAAAGAGCTTCAAGGTCACCCTCACCCAACATATTTCTCTTCCCCCCCCCCCCCCCACGAAAGACGATTTTAACAATTTTTTGGATACTAAAGCAAAAAAGTGCGATGACAACCGGGTATTTTTATCATAATTTTAACTGGCTGATAACAATCCATGTTGTTGTTCCGACTTTTGAAGAAAGTAACGGATTAGTTGTGCTCAAGGTGGTTTTTTCTTCATGCAAAATTCGGCTTTTTAAATAAGCCATTTTTTCGGAGTTTTTTTTACCATCTGAAAGTTATTGTTGTCCTGAGCTCAAAATTAAAACCTGTGTTTTTTTGTAAGTTAATAGGCGTTTGAAGATTGCCAATGTGGTAACTAACACGCGATATATTTTGTGCTTTTAACGCGTCAGCGCCGATATATGCGGTCAAATAATTATTGAACTGAAGTTATTTCCTTTCTCTTGAACTGAATGGTTCTCTTTGGACTGCTCGGCTAAGTTCGAACGTGCAAATCAGTCTAATTAAGAGGGAAAAGGATTCTTCAGTTTTAATGTTTTAACTAGCTTTTTCAAAATTGGTTTGGGCAACGAGTCTCAAAAAGTCAGTGAATGCTGAGCTAGTTGTATGCTTTCTGATTTTTTCTAGAGAAAAACTTTGACCACTGGAATCAATTGAGCACGAACACAACTGGAAGAACTCGCAAAGTGTCTCAGTTAAAGTCATCGGAGAAACAGGTTAGCAACCATAATCGCTTAAATTTACAAAATTCCTGTTTTATATGAATTTTATCTGCCTAGAAAGTAAGCTCAGCATAAGTTGCTAGCAGTTTCCCAGGAATTTCATAATAGCTACCTAATACATCAAATTTCAAAACCAAGCGCACTCGTTAAATTTTACCCAATTTTTTCAAACATATATCCTGTGAAATCTCAAATACTGCACAGGTTAATATTGTACTACTTAAGTTTAATAGCAATGAAAGGTGATATTACGTGCTTATAAATTACATGACGTCTAAGTTAGTTCAGGTAACGGTATCTAATTAGGCATGCATTTTCAAATGAAAAGAGTTCGTCTGCTACTGCTGCATCTCTCTTTTGAATTTATTCTTCATCCTCGGCTATTTTTACCATTTTGATGAGGCGTTTTTCCACCATCCTTTGTGGACGTCCAGTCAAAGTGTTTTTTGCATAGAATTTCCCCAACATCTTCGTCATGTTTCGAGCAGATGTCTTAAACGAATTATCATAATTTAACCTTTCTGCGAAGTGCAATTTTTTAAACTGAACTCATTATTTCGCTCTAAATTTGGCAAAAGATCAACATTGGCAATGGTTGAAATTGTTCATTGCTAACCAGGATGTCGTTGTTGTCCAGTTTGGGCAGTTGTGGCTTGGGTATGGACAGTGAGCTGAGCATGAGTTCACTCAAGAAGGCGTGCTCATCCGACAGTTTCTGCTGCAGCTCCGATATCTGACCTGTTGCAAAGCTTAGATATTTTTTTTCTGACAACTCTCGAAGAGTGGGAAGGAACTTTGGATTCGTGTCTATTTTTTAGCCAATTTTGACAGCCTGAAGAAAAGCTTGTAGGGGGTCAGGTGTATGGTATCATATTTGGATTCAAAAAAGTTGAAAAGAGTAACAAGAAATTCGGACCAAAAATGAACTTAAGAAATTGAGTAAATTTCTCGATTTCTGAATTCTTTTTCTAAATCACTGTGGTTGGAACATTCGGTGATACAGTTGTTAGCGAAATATCTATGAGGCGGTAATTCGTAGGGGCAGAGCAAGTGCTCGGTATTTGACCCGCGCTAGAAAATAATTTCCCTTTTCGTTTTTCGGTGTCTTAGTAGGATTTAACCAAAGTGAGCAAAAGAAAAATGATTAAAATTTAATCACTCTTTCCTTGCATGAAACAGCTTGTAGCACAATAGTTTTGCATCATTTTTTGTTCAGCGATGAGCATACCTTTTTTAATTGCTGATTAACGAAATTCATTGCATAAGTAAGTCTATGATTTTGAGATGAACTGACTAGCCCTGAAACTTCAGAAAAAATAACTGAGCGGCTCCATGTCTCACCAAAACATGCGGTCTCCTTATAATTGATTTTCGTTTAAAGTGTTACCCATTAACTCAGCCATTCTCTGCATATCTCTTTTCCTGTAGAATTTGTTGTTGTCGCCTCCTTTGGACGATGGTTCGCTTGCATCCCCGTTTGTGTCATCACTTATAGTATCCTCTAGAAACAAAAAAATGTTCAATTGTCAAGAAAAAAATATATAGCAAGAAAAGTAATGCTTCCTAAATGAGAAGTTTTTGAAGCTTCGCTGAGATATTTTCCTTGTCAATAAAAGGTTTCCAAAGAAAGCTGCGAAATTTTAGCGAAGTTTTTTTTCGAGTTTTATATATTTTTTTGTTTTTCAATTTTGAAGTCACTATAGTGAATTGTGATTAATTGACTAAAATTTTAAGCTTTATTTGATTTAAATTTTAGATTTTTTTGTACATTACTAAAACAAATGACACAAGTTTGACAAAAATTGTTTCAAATTGTATTCCATGTATGATGGAACTTTCTGTGCCACTTGGCAATCAACCTTTGTTCTAGTTTTATGCTGGAATTATTTTGGATGAGTTAAATTGTCTTGTATTCATTCAGACCAAAGAGGTATTCTTAGACGATAACGCAAAAGTAATGATTTATAATTTCAACAAGACGCGATATTGATTTTTTTTTCAACATTAACCATGAATAAAATGACCATTGATTTATTAGGTCTTGAAGTTTGTATTGCGAAACCTTTGATGGTTTCCTTGTTGATTAAGTGTTATCGAATTAAGTCAAGTTTTTTTTCTCGGTCAAACCTGTCTATCTGCTACATATTTAAATGCGGGTTTCGCTATGGTTAAGCTTTTTTCAAAGTATTTTTTTTGCCAGTTTAACGAAAGAACTTTTCCACGTTTAGGCTATATATCGTATATTGCAATGCTTGAGAACTTTTTTCGATTTTGCTGTTTGAAATCTGCGTGTTTGTTTTGCCAAGTTTGAAATTCTCCACCCTGAGTGGGCTGCTCTTAGTGGTTGGAAAGCTTAACTCTACATTTGACTGCTCAGGCCTTCTCAGTTTCCGAGATGTGCCATTTTTTATGACTAGAATTTTCTCTAAGTTGGAAGTTCTCAAAATTATGGTGGGGTGCTGTCAAGGTATTCTCAGGAAGTTTTTATCTGCCGTCACAAACTGACTGCTCAACGCCTTTTACTCTCCTAGATATGACGTTTTTATGAGTTTTTCGAAAATTTAGTGGGTTGATGACTGGTGTTTACCAGCAGTTGCAGATGTGGCGTCTATCCTGATTTAATAACTCTAATTTTTTCAATTTTGAGTTTTAAAAATATGAAGATCTGAAACCCAGTAGGTTGAAGATTTGACTATTTCAGTGTAAAATTAATTTTGAGTTGAATTTACTTTCGCCGTTCAGTTTTTGAAACAAAAAGCATTGTTTGATGCAGTCGTCTCTTGTCACGGTTTTCTTTTTTTTTCATAGATTTTATATATTCACTTTCAATCTGTTTTAATCACCGGAGGTGCGTCACTCTAGTTTTCATTCTTTTTTAATCTCAAATTAATTTTTTTTGGTTGGGCTTCCGATTTCTTTTCAAGATTTCTTGGTAATCATCTGGTAAATGGACCGAAAGTTACGCTCTCCAAACAGAAAACTAGCTAATGGTTCGAAAAAAAATGTGGTTGACTTTGATTTTCAGAATTGGATATAAGTTACTGGATCATCAGGTACTATTGGGATAAAATAGTTCCTATTGATCCAGAATTCTCAAATTGGCTTAGTTTTTAGTGCATTTGCGAAACCAAGTATCTTATAATCGGGAACTAGACTTTTCTCCCGTAAACAACTTTTCCTACAAATTTTAACTAGCTTGATTATTGAATTTAAATAACTTCCAGGTTCCTTCACACTTTGCCTAGAGATAATGCCGTCGCTTTTGCGCCCTAAGGTCTGGGTTTGGCATTCCGGCGGTTTTTTTTTTCAGTATGAAAACAATTGAAAATTTTTTTCGGGACAAAATTGATTTGCGGGCTTTTGTTTTTCCGCTCAAGTTTTGTCGACTTATTTGCCTTGTCACCGATTTTTCTTGTGCTGTAAGGAATTATCATGGTAAATGCAAGTCTTGTTCATTGTTGTCTCTGGTAGACTTGAAGCTCTTTAAGGTTTTCTAAATCAATTCGGCTCAACTGCTATCAGCTCAAAGATTGTCGGCTTTTTTCCGCTTCGTAAGTTTTGTTCCGATGCTAATTTAAAATTCAATGTCTTGCCTGGCATGTTTGCTTGAAATTTTTTTTAAAAACAGGTGGAAAATTTGGAAAACAGACGCTGTGGAAAATTTTTTCGCTTTTTGCAAAAGTTTTAGTTTTTTTCAGAAGCTGTTCTACCGGTCTTCAAAACAAAAGATATCAATGGAAAGACCAGACCGCCTTCATCATCCTCTGATTACAGCCTTCGAAAAAATCTGTGGGGAAATATTTGACAATTATTTTTTATTTTTTTATTTTGTTTTCGCAAAAACTACACTCCCAAATTTTAGATTGGTTTCATGAAATAGATCGACATTGAAAAGATCCCTGAAAAAGCAGCTAAGCCCAATTTTTTAACTCATTAAGTCGTGGCCCTCGTAATAGTCAAACTTTTGATTGTTTGCCGTTTTTTAAAAACAGTTTTGATTCTTCTCGAAAACTAACCTCCCAAATCTGAGATTGTGGGTTCAATGGACTTATTGGGTAGTGCGAAGCGCCCCTGCCTTAGCGACCACTCTTTGTTTTGTAACACAAAAATTGTCGCTCGGAAAAGTCCAACTTTGACCGTTTTTTGTAAACTTTTTGAATTCTCTCAAAAATTTCCCTCCCATATTTGAGATTTTGGGTTCAAGCTCCTTTGCATACGCGACTGTGCCCAAATGTTTCTGACCCAGAAAGTCATGGCCTTAGGAAAGGTCAATTTTGTTTTTCCTACCGTTTTTTGAAACTTTTTGACTTCTGAAATCTACTCTCCCAAGTCTGAGGCTTTGGGTTCAATCGAAAATTCAGGCTGATTTATAATAAGCAGATAAAACCAAATTTTATTTTTTTAAAAGAAAGCTCTTTTTCTCGGAATTGAATACTTTGTACATTTTTGAGATGAAAAGTCCAATCGAAAGATTTTTCCAGCAAAAGCGGCGAATTACTTTTTTTCCAGCAAAAGCGGCGAAAAATATTATGTCCTTGGAAAAGTTGCAATATCTTAATAATTTTTACTCTTCTCAATTATTTTAGTTGAGAAACAACAGGTTTCTTGGGACTCGATCTTTTCTTAGGGTCCAACTACCATACTTGTACCGCAGCTTTGTCGCTCGCTGTGTGGTTTTTTTCCATGAAAGATTTTTTCAGCGACAAAACGTGAGCGATTAAGTTAGGAAATTGAAAAATATATATATATATATATATATATATATATATATATATATATATATATATATATCTTAGAAAATCATTCGTTGAGGACTTTACAACTGTTTGATGGCCAAGTAATCATATGTTGTTCGAAACAGAAGTTATGCCGGATTTTGACCTATCGACTTACTTTTCTTGGATGAGACGACTGATAAAACGAGAAGGGAGATGGCGATAAATGAGAGAAATTTAAGACTGGTCATTTTGTCGTACCGTTGAAAACGCGACTCTGAAGTTAACTGCTGTCTAGCTCAAAGATGAAACAATACTGGCCGTAGTGTTACCTAAACAAAGTTTCAACACGATATTCGAGTTAAATGGTAAACTGAGATTCAAGATAAATAACTCGAATTGTTGTATGTTTGCCTAGCTGACTAGTCGTATCTACAATATGGGGCTCTTCGAGATCAGGTTTCAACTTGAATTGAACTTTGATAATTATCTCTTAAGATGTATAGCTAAGTCTTAACTTGAATACTAAGTCTTAATTTGTCTTATATCTGTCAGGTATTCAAGCTACGAGAAGCTCCTTGAATAGTGTAACGAAGTAGGGAAATGTGTCAGTATGGGGTCTCTAACGAGGTCCAAATGGGGATTTTGTCGTGGTCCGTTGAGTTTGAAAGAACAAAAATTTAGTTCTTCTGATGTCAGAACTGTAAAATGACTGTTGAATGATGTTCTTATTAAAGCTCAGTTTTATTGAGTACAACTCGTTTTGCAGTGCTACAAAATAAAATGGTAAGGGATACCTGTAGTGAGTTAAGACTAGTGTTGAAAGGCTGCAAGCCGTTTATAGGTTTGCAAATGCGCACACTGTAAGTGGTGACTTTTATTTCACGACTGAATAATGAATAATAGTCTCACTCAATAAATTATGGTTGATTTCTGCAGGCTCAATATATGTGGCACGAAGTAATGGGTGAATGCTTGGAGGAAATTGGAACGTGGTTGCTAGATTGTTCCCTGCTTATAGCTGAACTGAAAATATATCACCATGCTCCCTGCGGCCGGCACTTGGGACTAAATAGGAAAGCATACAAAGAGTATTGAAGTTACCTACAGTCTCATTTAGGGTTTCATTTCAAATAGCATAAAATGCTTTTGATGGGCTAAAATAAAGATTTTTAAATAAAACCGTACCAATTTAGGTTCAATCTAGAAATTGGATACGAACTTGAGTTGCCGCTAGTCGGCAGTTCGTGTGATTGTTCAAAATGCGTTTCTTAAAATATATTTAGAAAAAAATTGGGACGAGATTAAAAACATGGTTAAAGTTTTAGTCAATTGGGCATTCTGCCATCCAGCTATCATTTTTTTGTTGCTCTCAGCAAAATGCAATAACTTGTAATCAATGAGCTGTGAATTGGGGATAGAGACGCTATTGGGAATAGTTGTAAACCAAGAAATCACTAAGTGATTATGTGGATTACGAACCTTTGATAGCTGAATGAGATTCGACTAATGCCCACTGCACTCTATATCTTCACAAAAAATAATTCATCTTCCATTATAGCGTTTTTTTTACTGCGAACGCGAAATATTACACTCGATGCTAATGCAAGCTCAGTTCGAAAGATTACACTCGATGCTAATGCAAGCACTGTGAAGTTAACAAAACTGGTCGTATCCGTCTGTCCTTTTACGTCTAGAATTTTTTTTCCTTTTTTTTCATTATTATGATTTTTCTAATATTAACTCTAATTTCTTTGTATAGAGGGTAGACCTTAAGTAGGAGCGCACGCACTGCGCCTGCCGTCTATCCTTTCCAGTTTCGTGTCTGATTTGAATGGTTGGATATCAATTGTTTGTAACTAGTTGGAAATAAATCGATGATTGTTGTTTGTTTCTACATGATTTTGGGTAAATAAAATTCTTCTATGAAATGGTTTTTTACTTGAAAAATGAAGTTTTTCCACAAGAATTGAAATTTTTCATATACGCTAGAATAAAAAAAGCTATAATTTTAGCTTCTGGGTTCGTTGTAATAAGTTCGTTTCTGTACAAGACGTGCTAGATATTTCAGCAGAGCGATATTTTAGCAGACTCAAAACAATTAGCAGGTCAGAACACTAAATTCGAAAGCGGCAACGGCAAGTAACGACCGCTTGCTCCGCTGCGCTAACGTTAGGAACGAGTGTTATTCTGCGCGTAAGTATGTGTTTTCCCGGTATGTTAGACTATTACACTTTTGAAGTTGATCGTTTTGTTGCAAATCGTCAGATAATTATCTTAATTAGGGAAGCTTGCCCACGACAGCGTCTTTTTATGTCTGGCAATCAATTATGCGTTAGTTTTTTTACCATCTGCTGAAAGACTCATTTTTCATTTTAATGCTTTAAGATTGGTCTGCTAAAATATCGGTCTCCGGTACTAGGAAAGTGTTCAAAGTCGCCGAAATCTTTTTGTTTTCAAAACATGGTTTTGCGAGGACTAAAGAAGAGATAAAGCTGTAAAAACCATCATTATCAAGAGAAGGTGAGACACGTTCTCGAATTTCTCCTTGCATCCATCAAAACCAACAAACTACTGACAACTTGTTGCTATCTGACAAAAATGAATTCTTGAACGCCCCCATCCATAAGAACAAACAACTTGACGGCTTTAAATTTGGAACAATTCCTGAGTCATTTAAGTTTGCCGAAATCAATATTGGAAACTTTTTAAGTTAAAAAACCCCGTTTTTGATCGGAATTGTTAAGAAAGTGACTGAATGTTTGGGCTCGGTGTGGTTTTTTCTTCAGATGATTTTCGACTTCGTAACTAGCCATTTTTGGAGAGAGAATGGCTAGTAACGGAGCCAAAAATCGTCTGAAGAAAAAAACGACACAAAGCCCGAATAATCCCTCGCTCTTTTAGCAATTCTGATCGAAAACAGAGTCTTTTTACTTAAATGCCGCAAGTTACTGAGCTTCGAAAGATGAGAATTGAACTCCCTCGTTTACCTATTAATACTGTGATGATCGATTTTTTTTGTCCTTTTACTTAGAAAGACCCAAAATTCTACCTAAAAAATACAGTTCAGCTCTTTCACATAATCATCATAATCAACGATTTTTAGTAGCGTGTTCGGACTAGCCTGCGTAGTGTTATATTATGAGTCTTTTTAGAGCGTAGTGTTTTGTTAGGAGGAGCAACGCAGGAGAAGGAAGAGGCGGGTAGGGTAGGGCGAGCTGGGACACGGCAGGGCAGGGAAGCGCCAGGCCGGACGAGGAGTGGCAAGGCCTGTGTAGGTCAGCACAAGACGGCGAAGAGTGGCAAGGTAAGGTGAGGAAGGACAATGCAGGAGAAGGAGTGCAAGGCCGGGCAGGACGAGGAGGGGCTGGGCAGGGTAGCGCAAGGCAGGGCGAGGAGGGACAAGGCAGGGAAGGTCCAGGAGAAGCATCGCAAGACAAGGAAGGGCAGCGCAATACATGGTGAGTAGCGGCAAGGTAGGGCGAAGAGCGGTAGTGTAGGGCAGGGACAGGTTAGGGCAGTGCAAGGTAGGACGGCGAGGAGAGGCAGGACAGTTTGGTACAGCGCAATGCCGGGCATGGCAGTGTATAGCCAGGTAGGGCAAAGAGATTCAAGGCTGAGGAGGGCAGCGCAAGGCCTGGCGATTGGAGAAAGCCAAGGTAGAAAAGCGCAAGGCAGGGCCAAACGAGGAGGGGCATGGTCATCTATAAAACCATTCATCTATCTATCCACTCATCATACGTTCATTCATCCAACCTGCAATATATCAAGCCATCCAGCAATCAATCTCTTAAACCATCTACCTCTTTTCCCTACTATGCATCGTGCTATCTCTTCGTTCATTCATCCATCAATCGATCTAGCCATCTATTCATCCAACCTGCCATCAGACCATCGAGCCATTGATTCAACCATCCATCGAGCCTGCCATCTATACAACCATCATTCATCCTTTCATGCAGGCATTCTTCCATATATCTAGCCATCCATCATCCGTTCCTCCGTCCAACCGGAAGTATAACAAGACATCTATCTAATCATCCATCCTTCAAACCAAAAATTCACTTTCCAAACATTAATCCATCCGGCCAGCTAGCCATCTATTCATCAAGCCATCCATCATACATCCAACCAATCCATTAAGCATTCCATCCATCTAGCTATCCGTCTTCCATCAATCTGATAAGCCTTGTATCAAGCTATCTATCCACCCCTCCGGCAATCTATCCTTCCAGTCAGCCAATCAGACACATCCATCCAGCCACGCATCCATTATGCCGTCTATCATCCATCCAACCAGCAAGCCATCTAGTCATGTATCATCAAGCCAACCATTGTCCGTCCCTCCATTATCTATCCAGCCATCCTTTTTTTCAGGTACTCAGACTCTCATTCATCCATCCATCAAGCCAATAGTCCCTCCAGCCGTCTATCCCATAATGCATTCATTAATATATCCGACCATCCAGTCATTCATCCAGCCATACATCCATCCAACTAAGAATCCTGCTAATGATCCATTCAACCATACATTCTAGCAAGCATTCAGCCAGCCTTTCAGCCAGGCAGCTGTCCTGTCCGTCCGCTCATCTATCCAACCAAAAATTCATCCATCCATTTTGGCAGCCATGGCCCATCAATCCAACCAACCTGTTTTCCATCCATCCGTCTGTCTCCGAGCCGTCCTTCTTGCCAGCCAGCCAAGCATCCAATAGTCCTTCCATCCATCGTCCATCAATCCAACCATCCATTTATCAAGGCATGATCATCTATCCACGCAACCAGCAAATCAAGCCATCTAGCCTCCCATCGTCCGTGCAGGCAACCGCTAATTAATCTGAATTTCCAGCAATCCATCGGTCCATTCAATTAACCATGCATCGATCCAACCATCAATCCAGTCAAATTTTCATTTATGTTTCCGTCGAGCCATTTACCGTTCTCTTCAGCCATTGATACAGCCATCCCTCCGTCTAGCCATCGATCTACCATTTATCCAGCCAGCCATCCAATCATCCATTCATGCATCAGCCAACCTTCCATGCATTCATCCAGCCAGCCCTTCCTTCATCGATCTATCCATCATCTATCAATCCAGTAATCCATAGATATATTGAGCTGTCCATCCATTCAGCCATATGAGTTTGCTGATGCCTCAAACATCTGAGTTTGATCCAGAACGTTTTTCTGCCTAGGATAAATGCTGTCATTTTTTTGGGAGCAGCTTTAGCTGCAGAGGGCCACTAGTTCACTTTTTTTAAAAACTTTGGCTTCATCGTCTCAGCTATGATATGGTCGGTTTAGCTTCAAAATAAATGCCTTTTATTTTGCTGATTTTATTTTGTTGATTCATGCAACAACGATCCTTTCCTCGTTTTTTTTTAAGTTTTCCATATCTCTATCTCTAAGAATTGTTTTTTTGAAGAGATGTAGTTGCATAGTTCATTCCAGTGCTAGTATTCATTGACTTTGAGTTGTATTCAAACGTTGCAAGATTTCTTATGTTTAATTTTGAACATTTATTCAGCTTGGAACTCTCCGTCGTTTTTGTCGTCCTATGAGTTCCTTCGTTTTTCGTCTAAAAATAGTGTTGCAGCATACAAAGTTTGTTTGGCGTTTTTTTTGTCATCCTTTTTGCATAAAAATGTCTCTTTGTTAAATTTTGTGTTAAAATTGATGCAGAAATTTGTTTCACATTTCGGTTGAGAATTTTTGGTATATTATTTGCTTTTTAAAATCATTTTGTTGGTTTATGTATAGCAAATGATGTTAAGAATCGATTTGCCTGTTTTTAGACTATCGAAAATCTTGTGATGAAATGTTTAATCTTCAATCTCTGAAACACATAATATTGAAGTTCAGAAAGCAAACTGATATGGTCTCACTTAGTGACCGCGGAAGATATTTCCAGGCAACCCTTGTTATGTTAGTGTAGTGAAATAGATCCGATTGATCTTGTTTATTTGAAAACGGATCCGTTTAATTGCAGTTTCTTTAGTTTGACTATCCCTTCCCATTTTGCCCTAGCCCTT